ATTAAAATTTCTTAATGCTTATATAATTTACCATTATTATGAGAGTTTTAATATAATTGTAATACAAAAATTAGCGAGCGTTTTGAAACTATTAGGCTGGTATGCGTTCACTTACGAATACGAAACAGCCGCTTTATTTGCTTAATTACCTTCAGTTACTTTGAGTTTCTGATATTTTTTTAATTCACCTTAATATATGTATAATTTTAAATACGTTTAAACAAGTTCTTTGTTCTGATATTTATCTTTCACAGTTATAGTTTCACACATACGTTTTGGTATTTGTTACGACCGGTTCTGTCAAAAATAAGGGCGCGGATTATTGTGTTTTGTGAATCTGTGGAGTTAAAATGCACTGCAAGTGTTGCGGTGAGTGTTTATTTTATAATCTGTTTTGTTGTTATTGTATACGTGGGTTTATATTTAATCAATTTAGTAGCTATTGTTTACCATATGTAAAGTATGGGAACACGGTGTACAAAATATGTTTTCGCTGTTTTTAAACAATCCGCTTTGTACAATGTATTTTTCGCAGCTGGAAAACATGGAAACATTTATAACACAATACTATGGTATAGTGTAAAATATTTAATATTAAATAATACTGCTGACAATATTTATTGTTAACCGGGATTGCTATACTGCTAAATGGGAGAGAATTCACAACAGAAACTAGCAATTTAGGTCAAATAACTACGCAATTAACACAGTTTTACATTTCCTTTTATCAAATTGCACAATAGTTACGAAGCTTTTTTCACGATTACAATTTAAATGATAATTTTAGATTAATAACGGTTTTTAATTATTATTCATATTATCAATGATTTAATTACTTGATTCATGACGTAAATGAATTATTTACAATAATTTGAGAGGTTTGTTTTTGATACCATTTGACTTCATAAGTAGTTCCCACACCTCCTTACTATTTAGTTAATTTCGTATACAATAATGTAAGAATTCATGAAGTTGATTGAATTATCACATATAGTGGATATAAAAAAGCAATTTTAAAGTGTACATTTGTAACTTTTTTTAAGTAAACGTATGTAGGACATTAACCTAACAATTGTGATCTCGCGCATCAACGTGCTTGTTCATCGCCTCGAAGCACTCCGCGGCTTGTCTCATTATATCACTCATTTCACAAATAGCAAACTCCACACCGGAACGTAATGTCTAGCTGCTGCTTCAAACATTATCTAGCCATAATAATCTTATGGCAAAACAAAACTAACTAGGGATTTCGTTTAATAACCATCATAGTAAAATCCCATTTTAGAACAAAAATTTGCTTGTTTTAGTTAATTTAATTATTCTAGGTAACTTATCCTTTGTTTTTAAAAGCTTTAGCTTAAATTGATATCAAAACATTGGCTAGTATAATTATAAAATAAAAAAAAAAACTTTTTTGTAATTGGCGACTGCTATCTTGATTTAGAAAAATAATCTATATTATAAACTTGGTTATCGTGACTTCAATAAAGGAGACTAGGTCGTTATAAAAAGATATTAAATAGAAATCATATCTTACCGGTAACGCATCACAATGATCCGAATGGACCGAAGCGCGAGAAAGTATCGTGTCATAGAGACCTCTTTTCTAAATAATAAGTAATCATTAGAAATCCACTGAGGTTCTTGTACTGGCATTGTTTCGATCAAAAACGATTATTCAAATATGAGGACAGTTATCTTAAGATTCGACGGATAATTTTCCTAATAACACACAAGATCGTTATGGTTTAATAACATACATTTATAATTACAAAGTTAACATGCAATAAAAAGTTACAAATGAAAGTTTACGTATGGTACATTGTAAGATTATCCCCTAACGCAAATTCTATTTACTTTCAGTATAACAAATAGTAAGGAAATATATTAAACTCTGGGAAGTCTACATATTATTGTGTTTTTATGCAGTTAACTGGAGAAAGTGTAAAATCAATGTCAATATGTAATTTTAAAAATCGTATTAAATATTTGAAATACTGAATTTGTTCCTCAAAACCCTCTCTTAACTTCATACATGAGGGGATTCAAACAATGCGTGCTGACAAATCCTAAAAAAGTTGATTTAAATTTTGTTAAAGTTATAAAACATATTATGTACAACCATATTTATAATTACAAAGAATTAGTGAAAAAAACGCACTTCAAGATGTTGATGACTCCTTTAGTTGCTTGGAGTTTTGTCAGTCGTTTTTTTTAAGTCTCTAAATTACTTCGCACATCGCGAACCGGTTCTGCTGATGTGTGGTTATTATGGGAAACTATACTCCCGTTCTGTGTTAAAAATCCCTTAATTTTTAAGTTGTCAATAGCAAACTGCTGACTGAATTGTATTAATAAAAATCTAGTTTTGTACTAAGCAAGTAATTTTAGGTAGGTAATTTACACATACAATACATAGGTAATAAATAAAACCGACTTCCAAACAAAATACACGAAAAACAAAACAAAATGCACTAAAAACAAAACAAAATACACCAAAAACAAAATATTCTC